TGAACAAGCTTATCCCTTAGTAATGCCTAATTGAGCATTTTTGTCCCTTATTTTATACTAGAGTTGGGCGGTATCGGGATTTTGACATAAAATCGGAATCGGGATTTTAGAATAATGATCCCGATTGTGGGATCGGGATTGGCCAAAATCGGGATTAAAAAAACCGGGATATCCCGCCCGATCGGGATTCCGATCCCGCCCAACCCTTTTTTTACTAAAAACAAAAAAAAAATTTTCAGCACACCCAACCTCCACAAAATCCAAAGTTTACTTGGTTTGCATTCAATTAATTTAGGTGTCCACTGCCCATTAACACAATGACTGATTTGTTCCAAAGGAGTACTCGACTTTAACTCATTAAACACTTCAAACCCTGCCTTACAAACTAAAAAACAATTAAAAAATTTAAATTTTAAATTAACACCCACCAACAATTAATTCTTTACTTTCCTTAATTATCAACTTCCACCCATTCTTTTTCAATTTTTCTTCTGTTGGGAGTTGACATTTTTCAATCCTTTCTTCCCCAACAGTTAAATTAAATGAGCGTTTAACTCTACTCCACAAAATTTGTCCCTCAATTGTTGGATGTCTTTGGAATACACATTTTGGTTTTATATCTGGACGCCACTTTAAAAAACAAAAAAAACTTTTTTGGTTTGAAAAATTGGTGGTTACCTTTCCATATTGACAGGTTGCCTTTGGAGGGCCTAAAAAAATTAAGTAATACTGCCGAACCCTGTTATAGCGTTAAAAAATCGTACACTAAAAGTGGAGGTATTGCTTAGGTCTCCACTCTCCTTAATCAGCGGCATCCCCTTCTCCCTCTCTCCATACCCTTACAAAATTGAAATGTATATAGTGGATTGAAGTGCGTACGAGAATCTCGATAACCGAGATCTCGGTCGATCTCTAATAGTGGGAGTATCTCTAATAGTGGAATCTAGGTTGACTGTACATCAGGGATGTCACGGGTTACCCGAAACCCGAAACCCGGCCTTTTTTTCGACCCGATACCCGAAACCCGATCCGAGAAATTTTCTAAAACCCGACCCGAAACCCGACCCGAGAATTTTTATTTTTCAAAACCCGACCCGAAACCCGACCCGAGTTTTCTCAAAATTTTCGCCCGCGTCGCAGAAAAAGGGAAGATTTTTAGCTTAATGATCTTCCAAAATTCTGAAAATTTTCGCCTGCGGCGCTGAAAAAGGAAGAAATCTGGCTTCGGACCTTCAAGAATTCTCAAAATTTTCGCCTGCGGCGCTGAGGAGGGAAGATTTTTGGCTTTTTGGCCTTCCAAAATTCTCAAAATTTTGGCTTTTTTTCGACCCGAAACCCGAAACCCGATCCGAAGAAAATTTTGAAAACCCGATCCGAAACCCGACCCGACTTTTTGCTCAACCCGAAACCCGAAACCCGATCCGAGAAAAATTTTGGAAACCCGACCCGACATTTTTCTCAACCCGTGACATCCCTGCTGTACATATTAATAGATGAATGTGTTTCGCTTTCCAATTTCCGTCTGTTTTTAAGTCTGTTTATTATTTAGATACACCCCGTTATCTACATATTTTGTCTCCCAAAAATTAATTTTGAATAAAATAACCAATTAAAAGGTTTCCTTTTTCACATTGAAACGAGATTGAACGACCTTCAGGAACGCTGAATAAAAAAATCGAAAATTTAGAAAATTAAAAAAATTACCGATTAATATAATCAGAATAATCATAAGCTAAAAAGTCTTTTTTACAAATTTCAGCAACTTAATTAACTAACCCCCCATCTGCCCCTCAAGAAAAATACGTCCACCCTCCAAATTGTCAAAAACTTTTGTTGGGTGGTCACAAGACACTGAATTTTCTATGTAAAAATATGTAGAAATTAAATATTATTTACTTGCAAGACATCGAAATGGCGGGCCATCTCTAATCCACCTAAAACAAAAATGAGGCTTAAACACAGCGCACACCAACGTATTATTTAGGAGGTATTATTATTAAATTATTATTTACCAACGTATTTTTAAATTAAAAGGGAACATCGTCCACTTTATATTTAAAGAAAAAAGAAGAGAAATTGCTCAATTACTCTTTAACTCCAAACTAGGGTAGCAACCTGACCCCCGAACCCCGGCATGCCTTCCCCTGCAAACCCCGATCCCCGACATACCTGACCCCGAAGGTCGGGTTGCTACCTCACTCCAAACTATAGCAGTCCAACTTTAACCAGCATAAACTTATTTTGTAAAAAAGGTCACTTCAAATAGGAAGTCAGGGGTCCTCTATCAAAGGGCGCAAGATAAACGATATTCCCTTGTTAACTCAACAAGCTCTCTTTCAAATGACATATACCTAATTCGTCTAAATTTAAAATCCCTAGTAGGGCTGGGGTTTTCGAGTTGGGCCGACGTTCGAGCCATTTTTTCGGGCTTGATTTTTATCGGGCCGGCCCGACCGAGTCTTTTTCGGGCCAGAATTCGATGCCCGACTCGATCTTTCGGACCGGACCGGTCCCCTAACCCTAATTCTTAGTTAATTATAGTTTAGCAAATTAAATTTCATTACTTTCCATAAAGACATTTAATTAAATTGTTGGGCGAAGAAGGTCGAAATCCATGCAAACAATGATATTTTGCAACTAAATTTTCAGTAAAACAAATTTTTATCAACTAGAAACACCTGCACCATGTGTTGATTTTGTAAAAACTAATTGAGAATTGGGCATTTTCGCTGGCCATTTTTGGCAGCGAACTAATTTTTCGTTAAATTATTTTTTAATTTAAAAATACTTGGAGTGCATTGAGGTACATGTGACCAGGTTCCATTAAGACAATTAACCATTGGCCGATTTTTTGTGTCGTGTTTTGGATCGCAAAGGATTTGAACCGAAAATTTTATTATTTTAATTTATAGACAATTGTTCTATATTAGGCCGGTAATCGTTATTTCTCGGTAATCGTAATGCAGAGTAACGGGAGAAATAAAGGGTTAGTACAGGTCGACCTCTTGATAATTAGTTCTAAGTACTTTCGCTCATCACGTACTGCTCACTGATCTATCTTCTTTCAGTTTCTCTTTCAATTGGCCCTATATGTACCATTAACTCAGTCACCGTGCCAACCAGTGCTCCGGGAGCTAGCTAGCTCCGGAGAAAAATTTCCGCCTGCTCCGTTTAAAAAGCAAATGATAATGAGAGAGTGATAGCCCGGAGCCGGAGCCAAGATTTTGAAAGCCCGGAGCCGGAGCCAACAAATGGCAAATACCCAGCACTGGTGCCAAACCTCAATTTTAACCTTTTTTCCATGTGGAATTAATTCCCCATCAGAGAACTGACCCAATCGACCATTTCTAATTTTTGGAACCTTGCAATTTGCTTAATTGTAAAATTAAATTAAAAATCATTTGAGAATTACCCAAACATTTGGGAACGTTCGAACTCCATTTCCCATTTTCTTCACATTTGGCAAAGGGAGCGCCAATGTGGCCCGTTTAGGCGCGGGCCGGTTAGGCGCGACCGGTTAGGCGCGACCGGTTAGGCGCCGGCCGGTTAGGCGCGCGGCCGGTTAGGCGCCGGCCGGTTAGGCGCCAAGCCTTTTAATTAAATATTGAACGAAATGCTACTCCAAATCCTGAAAATAGATAAATCTGATAATCCCGGACAGATGCACCACCCTCACATGAGGCTTTCGCGGAAAAAAGTTTTTGCCGCTGCGGAGGAAGCCGGGCATGTCGAGCGGAACGACGGCCGCCGCTTCGCTACGGTCGCCGCGAGCGAAGCGAGCACGACCGCAGCGAAGCACGGCCATCGTGTAGCGAAGACCATGCCCGGCCTACCCTCCGTAGCAGCACAAAAACAGTTTTTCCAGCGAAGATTCTGTTGGTCATAACTTTGTCAAAAATCATCCAATCGAGCTGATTTTGAGTCTCGTACGTAAACTAGTTAGGCCTGTTTTTTAATTTTGTTAAATTTTTTTGTAAAATTTTTGTTTTATAATTCAGAATTGTCCCATTTGATGGTCGATGGGACCTTCTGATTGATTATAATCGAATATTTAAATAAAAGGCTTGGCGCCTAACCGGCCGGCGCCTAACCGGCCGCGCGCCTAACCGGCCGGCGCCTAATCGGTCGCGCCTAACCGGTCGCGCCTAACCGGCCCGCGCCTAAACGGGCTGTACCCAGTTTAAGAAATACCCAAACCCCTTCAAAACATCGAAAGACCACAATAGATCCATAACTAGTATCATCTCCCTCAACATAACCATTCCAAATTATCGGCAATGGGGGGCATTTGATCTCTTCACAATAAGGATTCTGTCCTGCCCATACCCCCTCCGCTAAACAAATTCTTTGGACCTTAAGAGAATGTCGGAGTATTTTCTTAGAATTACTTAACTTGCCTGCCCGACAAGTCTATAACCATCATTGCAGGAGTAAGTAACTACAGATTGAAAACTTAAAGAAGATCCAATAACGGCACCATGTAGAGGATCGGTAGGCCGTGGACATTCAATAGCTAAATTTAAAGGGTGGCTTAATAATTGCTGCTTTTTCCAGCAATGTTTTTCTTGTATATAGTTTTGGGAGTTTTTTGATTTTTTAGTTCGAATAAGGACAGTTTTTCGAAACACTGCATAAGCGTTTCGTCGCAAGTTCCAGTTCTGGTAGGCCGGAAGTTCCGTGATGTTTTGGTTCCGATTAAAATAGAATAATTTTTGAGTGAGGCAATACATACTAGAGGTATGCCCAAAAGAGATTCGTCCCTTTATTCGGACCTGCTCACCACTGGTTATTCGAGGTATATCCAATCGAGTCAAAAAGGAATAATTTTTGGTGAATGAGGCATCTAGAAGTTTGTCCCAAAAAACTAATTAAGGTTCTTTACTCAGACCTGCCCACCACTGGTTATTCGAGGTATATCTAATCGAGTTAAACATGTCAGACTATAAGATTGAATTTACAATCTCTTCAGCCCCAAAGGAGTATCATATAATGACGTTTGACTATAGTAAGGTTAAATTAAAAATTTTCTTACGCTTGCATAATGGTTGTTCCCCTAAAAATAAATTTTATTGTTCACTAAATACTGTATAAAAATAACCGCTCCATTCCCCAACACTTGTACACATTCTCTGTGCCGATCCAATTAAATTAAATCCGGGAGCACAGGAAAACTCGATTGTATGTGGAAATTGAAGATTATCGCCTGAACGGAATCCATTTAGAGGAATTCCAGGATCCTGGCATTCTTGGGCTGAAAATTAATTTAGAGAGGGTTTATCCCTAGTAAAGATGACAACCTTTGCAAACAATTTTTGGTTCTTCCCAAAAAGCAATTCCTTTATTATTTAATGAACATTTAATTTTATTTTTTGTTTGGCTTGTATCCCTTGGAAAAATACAAATGTTTTTTGTCATGTATTAGAGACCGAATCAGGACGAGATCTCGAACAAAAAAAACTCGGATATCGAATAAGGTTTTTGGATCCGGATCAGGGGCGGCCGCATTGAGTCTCTCGCGCCCGCCCCTGATCCGGATATCCGGAAATTTTCGGTTTGGATATCGGATCCGTATATTTGAAGAGTTCCAACTATCCGCCGACCTTTCAATCGTGATCGACTCTCAGTCCGATCTCTATCATTTATCTACCTACCTATATCCAGAAATGCAACTATAATGAGCTTCCGAGTCCAATTCATTTTCTTCGTTAATAGAGGAGGTTGGAGAAAGCTTGTAAATTGAATAGGGGATTTCTGGTGGAGGACCACACTTTACTAAAAATTTATTTTAAAATATTTTTTCTCAGAAGTAATTATACAAAGGGGTCGACAAACAGGTCGAGAACCTGACCATTCTTTATTTCCTTGACATCTACGTTGTGACGGGCCAATTAAAATATAACCCTAAAAATAATTGAATAAGGAGAAATTCTTTGAGGAGAAACCAAATCACATCCATATTCGGCAATAGAGTTAAAAAGGAATCCTGTTGGTGTCTGAATATATCCATTTGGAAGATCAACAAGCGGGTGGCAATTAATTGCTATAAATTTAGAGATAAAGAGGGACCTCACAATTTGGAGCTGAAAGGATTTAAATCACAAGGCTGTGCCATCAATTTTTCAAAAGCCAAAAACTTTATGATGTTCAGCCCCGGTATCTTATAATTAGGTGATTATTAAATAGAAGTATCCTCCGATCCAGAGTATGTAGCTCCTCACATCCAGAGCAGAGGTGGGTCGGAATTCCGATTTCCGAAAAAAATTTTGATTTCCGAGTTCCGACTTTTGAGTTAGTTCCAATTTCCGCTCTTCCGATTTCCGATACCTCTGACTGTCCCGACCCAGCTCACATTCAGAGTTTAATCTAATATTTTAAAATGTACCCTAAATTGAGGTGCACTCACAAAAAAGTCCTACTCTATCAAAAATTTTAACATACAAACATTTTGAAATACAGCTAAGTCCACACTCGCCATCGCAAAGACAAAGTTTATTCCCTCTTCGGCATTGTTCTTGATGGCTACAGGGTTTTCTACAAAATGGGGGTCTCGGAAATGTAGTTACTGGGCAATTAATATTATCAGGTTCTAATTCATGTGATCTATCAGCATCCCCAAATGACAAATTTATTGACTTAAGAAGCGTCAATAAAAAATAGAAATAGGTGGGCATCTTGAATATTCGCTTGAAAATATTTAAAAAAATTTTTGTTTAATGCAAAAGGACCTCCACAATCTCAAAAAATTTAATGAATTAAAAAATTACGGCCAAATTTACTAGCCAACATAAAGAAAATAAAGCTTTGTTTTCCATTCTAAACTAATCTTTTATTCATTGTATATAAGCAAAAATGCCCTAAATTGCTGGGTAAAGTGAATGGCGGTTTTTACCAGTAATATACTAATGTATGGTCCCAGACCGCTTAGGGGTTTGTGAGGGTCCGAGCTATTTAACCAACAAGATTACAAAAACATTACAAAACAAATTGAGAAATAAATAAAAAATTATTTACTAGTTTAATTCATAAAACATTTTTAATTTTAATATATTTTTACAAATTTAAAGTTATTGTTGAGTTTATTTGAGCAAATAATTGTTTAAAAAAATGCAGAGTTTAGACAAATGTTTCTAATTTATATTCTTTAATTCCTTGTAATTTTATGGTGTTGCGCTTGTTTGTTTTTGCTTAATATTTTCATTATTTAATCTAAAACATTCATAAACTAAACATACCCTTCTATGCACAAAATGTTCGGGATGTTCAAATTGTTGGTGTGGGTATTGTTGTATTCCCCCCTCTCTCGTTGGTCTCATCATTGTTGTTACTAGAAAAACAAGCAAAACATCAAAACAAACTAAACATCTCAAAAACAAACAAAACATCAGAACAAACTAAACATCAAAACAAACAAAACATCAAAACAAACTAAACATCTCAAAAACAAACAAAACATCAGAACAAACTAAACATCAAAACAAACAAAACATCAAAACAAACTAAACATCTCAAAAACAAACAAAACATCAGAACAAACTAAACATCAAAACAAACAAAACATCAAAACAAATAATTGTTTTCAAGGCTGTGCGCCAAAATTTTTGCGTGTCGCGTCAAACGCCATTTTTTCAAATTTTTAAATCACGCTAAACGCCAAATGCCATGGCGCACGGCCCTGATTGTTCCCTCTATATTTATTTTTACCATTTACAGCATCACCCCCAACATCCTGTAATGGAGTAATAACAAATTCAGTTCCATCCCCCCATCCATGTCCATAAGCAGTCAAAGGATATGCTGCCTCCCCATGTTTAAATCTATCCAATCCACGTATTTCTACTTCTCTGGGCACCCTTATTTTTCCAAATGCTTTTAAAATTAGAAAAGCTGGAGTTAATACAAGTGCTGACCAAACAATTATTGCTACAGCACAAACACTTTGCCAACAAAGTTGCCAGAGTGCTTCATCAAATTTAACTTTTTCGGGGTCAATTAAAGAGAAAAGAAGCCCCTTTTCAGTAACCAAACAAGCACTAATTAACCCCCACAATCCACCCCCAAAATGAACAGCAAAAGCATCGAGAGGGTCATCTATTCGCATAATTAAACAAAGCTCTGAAAATGCTAAGTAGGCCATTCCTGCAATAGATCCGGTTATTGCTGATGTCCAAACAGGCCTAAAAACAGAACAATTAATTGTTTTTGTTAACAAACAAACATTATATTACAACCAGCACAGGCGCTAACCATTCCTTAATAATGAAAGAATAATTAAATGTTCAAATTTTATTCTGGTTTTGTATGTGTTTTTCTGTAAATATTCTGGTTATGTTCTCATGTTTTTTCTGATATTGTTTTCTTTCTTTATTCTGGTTTTGTTTTTCTTACTTTTTAATTCTGGTGTGTTTTTATCTAAGCAAAACAAATGTTTTGATTTTATTCTGGTTTTGAACTAGTGTTTTGTTTTCAAATATTCTAATTTTATTTTAAATTCTGGTTTTGTTTTTCTTCTATTCTCCTATGTTTTGTTTTGAGTATGTTTTAATTTTATTCTGATTTTATTTTTGTTCAAAACAACAACAAAATCAGAATTTATTAAAAACATACCAGTTAAACACGCATTAATTGTCAACAAAATTGTCCACTTTCCTTTTCTGATAAAATGAACAAACAAATAAGACAAAGCAGCAAAAGCCCCACACAAAATAGTATTAACCATAACTTTGGCTACTATTTGTCCAACACCTTTAGTTGAAATTTCTCCTGTTGATCCTCCATTGAAAGCAAGAAATCCAAACATTAGAATAAATCCTCCAAGAGAGGCAAACTTGAAGGGGGGGAGGAAAGGGGAAAATTTAGAAAAGGAAAAGGAGAACAACAACTTACAGGTACTGAATGCCCCTTAATTTCCGCAATTTTTGGTAATTTTCCTTCTGTCCCGACATTCCTCAGAGGTGTGATTCGTTGTTGTTTTCCTTTTTTAACTTTATTTTTCTGCCTAGCTTCCTTCTCAGGAAAACGTCCAATTCTTGGGCCGATAAGCAATGCTGCTATTAAAGAAATTGTTCCACCACAGAGATGTACCTGGTAAATTTGCCACATAATTCGTCGTTTAAACGCTTGTTTGATATTAATTCTGATTTATTATTCTGATTAGTTTTTATGTTATTCTGTTTTTGTTGTTCATTTTTGTTCTCTAACAACGTTTTGTTTTAATTCTGATTTATTTTAGTATGTTTTTCTGTTTGTTTAATGTTTTATTCTGATTTTTATTTGTTTTGTTTTTAATTCTGATTTGTTTTAATATTCTGTTTTTGTTCGTCTAATATTCTGATTTATGTTTTTTTCTTCTTTTATTCTGATTTTTATTTGTTTTGTTTATGTTTTGTTTTTATTCTGATTTCTATATACTATTACCATTCCAGACCCAGCAAAATCAACATAAGTTGTTCTGAATGTTGTTGTTGTGTTTGTAATTGTTGTAATGTTTGTTTCACTACTATTGTTGTTTAATGTATTATTTTCGAATAAATGTTGTTCAAGTCCAAGGCTTGGGTCAAACCCTCTAGCCATCCATCCATTTGGAGTCCATCCCCAATGTGTTAGTATAGGGTAACAAAATGCTAGATTTTCTTTTTTTTTTTAATTTTTAAAATTAATTTACAAGTAATTAAAAGTGAGTAGGTTAAAAAACAAGCAAATTCTGCCCTTTCCGCAACCGCCCCAGAAATTATTGTCTTAAAAATAAATTTTTAAAATTTTGGAAAATTTTTTTTAAAGGATTTACAGCAGCTGTAGCAGCAAAAACAAATTGAAAAAAGAATTTTGCATAATTTTGTAGACCAATAACAAAGAATTGGCTAAATCCGAAAAAATGGTCAAGAAAATTGTTTGAATTAGGTCCATAGGCCAAAGCCCATCCAATTGCCCAATAACCAAGAATTCCGAGAACTTTAAAAATATTTTAAATTTTTTTAAAATCATTTCAGTGTAAACATACGCGAATCCAAAACATTTTTAATTAGAATATTTGTACAATTTTTACTTCTAACGGCTCCTGCTTCGAGAAAAGCGAATCCACATTGCATTACTTAAAGATTTTAGGAAAAACTTTTATGCCAATAAATTTCAATTTAAAATTCGGTTAGTCACTGAATGGGGGGAAAGGTTTGGGGAAGTAGAGCTTTCCTGGAAAGTTCCAGTCAAAGCTTTGGTTTCCAATTTCGACCCAGTTTCGGCGAAGTTTTAGCGGGTGGTTGAGGCTATCTAAGCGACATCCTCTACTCATTAAGTAGAGAAGATTGGTAGAGCTTGCCATGGAAGCTCCTTGGGAATCATGTCAAATATTTTTATTCCATTCCGTTCCCGGTAGCCTTTAGTGGGTTGTGGAGAGGGAGAGCTGCCTAACACGGACAATATTTGGGCCCTAAGGGTGTATTCACAATGCAAGTCCGACTGTATTTATTTTTAAGTTTTCCAAAAATTTTTTCTTCCACATTTGTAATTCCTTTTTTAATTAACATTTTCCCATTTTCACTCACAAAATATTATAAGCGCCATAGCACAACTAAAAAAAGCATCGTTGTTGTCGTTTGTATTTAATTTTAATTCGTCTAATATTCTTTTAAGTTCATTTATTTCTTCTGATAAATTTGCTGGATTTAAGGGTTCGGAAGTATTCATTTGGGAGAAATTGAATTTTTTGGGGGAATTTTAAAAATTTTAAAACTAAAAATCTCTCATTTCCTAAATTAAAAACGATTAAAAAGAGGGGGAAAAGTGTGTGGAGAGTATTATGGGTACAGCCCAAAACGGCGCGCGCCCATAACGGCGCAAAGCTATGACTTGCTGGAAAATTTCTGGCCCTTGTCAATTTTGGTACCAATCTCTTTAACTCGATGAGAGGAATCGTTTGATACTAAATTTGTTAAGATCCGGAGATTTTGAAGCAAGTTATCGCTTTGCGCCGTTATGGCCGCGCGCCGATTTGGGCGTTCGCAAATATTATTATTTTTGTTATTTTTCTTCAAAAATTTGTTTTAAAAAATTTTTCTTATTTTAAATTTAATCGGCCATTTTCATCTATTTTTTGTCCCTTTCCGCTCACATTACAAAAAAATCTATTAAATTTTTAATTGCTATCGCTGTTGCCTGTGTTCTCCTCCTTTCCCTCTTTTCAAAGTTTAAAAATTCCGAACTGAAAGAATAATTTATTAGAGTGACTGAAGAGGGGAAGGCTTGGTAATGGACACATCCAGGCTTGGTAATGGATATGGATAGAGATTCAAAATGATTCAAATAAATTCAAAATGCCTGCGGATATCCGCCTGTATACGCCGTAAATACCCAAACACGGATGCCAAAATCCATGCCCATTACCAGCTCCAGTCACATCTCTATTTTATGTACGTCTTTAAGGATCGGAGGTCGATCGGAATTCCGATTTCCGACGTTTTTTTCCTTTCGATTTCTGACTTCCGAAAATTTAGGCTGATTTCCGACTTCCGACAGTTCCAATTTCCGGGACCTTCTTCATTTCCGATCGACATCTATAAAGGATGAAATAATTAATTAAAATTGGGTGTTTCTGAGGCGTACATAAAATAGAGGGGTTCGACTTTAACAAAAAAATTTTTGGAGACTAATAGAACTAAGGACTAGGATGGTCAAATTTTTTGTTATTCATGATTTTAGATTTGAAAAATTTACAAAAATTAAAAAATTAATGCCCTATCATAAACTAAAAATATATTAAATTTAATAATTCTTTCAAACAGAAAAATGCATTGGTTGGTGCAGGAGGCCTTATAGAAACAAAAAAAAATATGAGAGAATTGAACGAATAAGAAACATTAAAAAAAATATTTTTATAAAATAAAAGAAGAAAAAGATAGAATTTCCCGAATTGAAATGATAAAAATGTTTTGTGTTTTGCGCATTTCCCCCACACACTCTCTACTTTCTTTTTTTACAATTTCTCTAACTATTTGGAAAGTTTTAAGTTTTCCTTTCTTTTTTATTGTTTCGATTTTTCTCTCTCCCTCTCTCCAACAAGTTTTTCAATCCAATCTTTTTTAAAGAAAAATATTGAAGGGGACAAATTTCTAATAAGAAGACAGAAACGGTTTTTGGGAGCAGGCCATTATACCGCGAGCCCAGTATACCGCCGAGCTATAACTTCGTTCAAAATAGTCGAATCCGGGACGCCCTGGTATGGTTCGATGCGCCTTGACGAGCTGAATCGAACCATACCAGGGCCTCCCGGATCCGACAATTTTGAACAGTTATAGCTCGGCGGTATACTGGGCTCGCGGTATAATATCGACATCGATACCGTATTTTCTTGATTAATTCCTATGGGGAATTATTTTTTAACCCTTCCTTGGGAATTATTTGAGGGAGGGGAATTAATCGAGAAAATACGGTATATAGTATCGATCCGTTCTCTATTTTTAGGTACAGATTGGAAATTAAATAAATATTCTTGGAGAATTAATAATTTAAAAAATTAGTTTAAGTGATGCTTCAAAAAAGAATTTGACGATATTTAAGCTTGTAATGGAAATTAATCAAATTTTGTCTGGTGTTTCTACTTTACCCTGTCAAAGTGGAAAGGATCGGACTTCATGGCTTTGATTTTAGAGGAGGGGAGGATTTTGAAGGAAACTTGTGGACTTTACAATCAAAGGTGATGGAGATTGTCTGAATAGAAATTTAAAAAAAATGTTGCAAAAATTACCAAAAGCTCAGTAGCTCAGATTGATGCGGTACAGCTAACCCCAGCCTGAATGCATGGTGAGCGAAAGCTATTTCTGAGTGAAGGCTTTTTTTATGCGTGGTGAGCGAAGGCTTTCTAAGAACACCTTACAAATCTGAATTTTTTCAAACGACCCGTCCCTGATATTTCTGGTAATGCAACGATTTGGCTCTGGTAACGTGCGATCAATATTCTAAATTTATTGGGTACTTATTGGGGTAATCAATTTAAGTTTTCGGAATATAGAAAAGGGCATTACCTTCTTAATTACAAAATCAATGTAAATATAGACAGGATTAATTCTCAAATTAGGTTATAAAAACGTTCATGTCTTAAGGGAACATTTTATATAAAGTTGTGTTCTTGTACGAGAAAATGCCCTTCTCTACATGTTTGCAAGAATAATTAAAAAGTTTGATGGAATATTCGCAGCCCATAGACGTTATTGACTTCGTATTTCCTAAAAATAAATTTAACATTTTTCCAAAACTGTTGTTATTCCTCTTCTAGACATTTTGAAATTTTAATTTGTTGGGACCTTTGAATTAAATTTTTACAATTTTGGCATAATGTATATTTATTTTATAGATAATATAGAAGATATAGAAAGGAACTTGACGGTTTTTTGTTTTACGTTCATATTATTGATGTTTACAGTTTAAAAACTGTGAAAAATAACCAGTAATGCACATAAATAAGGATTTATTTAGAATTTTCGTTCATATTATTGATGTTTACAGTCTAAAAACTGTGAAAAATAACCAGTAATGCACATAAATAAGGATTTATTTAGAATTTTCGTTCATATTATTGATGTTTACAGTCTAAAAACTGTGAAAAATAACCAGTAATGCACATAAATAAGGATTTATTTAGAATTTTCGTTCATATTATTGATGTTTATAGTCTAAAAACTGTGAAAAATAACCAGTAATGCACATAAATAAGGATTTATTTAGAATTTTCGTTCATATTATTGATGTTTACAGTCTAAAAACTGTGAAAAATAACCAGTAATGCACATAAATAAGGATTTATTTAGAATTTTCGTTCATATTATTGATGTTTACAGTCTAAAAATTGTGAAAAATAACCAGTAATGCACATAAATAAGGATTTATTTAGAATTTTCGTTCATATTATTGATGTTTACAGTTTAAAAACTGTGAAAAATAACCAGTAATGCACATAAATAAGGATTTATTTAGAATTTTCGTTCATATTATTGATGTTTATAGTCTAAAAACTGTGAAAAATAACCAGTAATGCACATAAATAAGGATTTATTTAGAATTTTCGTTCATATTATTGATGTTTACAGTCTAAAAACTGTGAAAAATAACCAGTAATGCACATAAATAAGGATTTATTTAGAATTTTCGTTCATATTATTGATGTTTACAGTTTAAAAACTGTGAAAAATAACCAGTAATACACATAAATAAGGATTTATTTAGAATTTTCGTTCATATTATTGATGTTTACAGTTTAAAAACTGAAAAATAACCAGTAATACACATAAATAAGGATTTATTTAGAATTTTCGTTCATATTATTGATGTTTATAGTCTAAAAACTGTGAAAAATAACCAGTAATGCACATAAATAAGGATTTATTTAGAATTTTCGTTCATATTATTGATGTTTACAGTCTAAAAACTGTGAAAAATAACCAGTAATGCACATAAATAAGGATTTATTTAGAATTTTCGTTCATATTATTGATGTTTACAGTCTAAAAACTGTGAAAAATAACCAGTAATGCACATAAATAAGGATTTATTTAGAATTTTCGTTCATATTATTGATGTTTACAGTCTAAAAACTGTGAAAAATAACCAGTAATGCACATAAATAAGGATTTATTTAGAATTTTCGTTCATATTATTGATGTTTACAGTCTAAAAACTGTGAAAAATAACCAGTAATGCACATAAATAAGGATTTATTTAGAATTTTCGTTCATATTATTGATGTTTACAGTTTAAAAACTGTGAAAAATAACCAGTAATACACATAAATAAGGATTTATTTAGAATTTTCGTTCATATTATTGATGTTTACAGTCTAAAAACTGTGAAAAATAACCAGTAATGCACATAAATAAGGATTTATTTAGAATTTTCGTTCATATTATTGATGTTTACAGTCTAAAAACTGTGAAAAATAACCAGTAATGCACATAAATAAGGATTTATTTAGAATTTTCGTTCATATTATTGATGTTTACAGTTTAAAAACTGTGAAAAATAACCAGTAATACACATAAATAAGGATTTATTTAGAATTTTCGTTCATATTATTGATGTTTACAGTCTAAAAACTGTGAAA